AAACATGGTAATCACATAGGTCAATTTAGTAATAGGAAAAAAAGGGCATTAGAAGCATGCAAAAAGGGTCGAGTAAAAAGACCTTTCTGAAAAATATAGTCTAGTTTCAGTGATTGCAGGAAACCAAATCACATAGAGAAACCAAAGTTGAAACAAAAAGGACTTTGAATCCAGTCGAGCAACTTCAAATAGATGAAGCAGTTTCAGAGGCTCGAATAGGTCCAGAGAAATTAGGGTTTTGAAACTAGTCAAATTCAGGGATGATGAACAAGCAAATCACACAACACATAGTCTTAGAACTTGGATGAACCCAAAGCTCTAGGGTTTTCACCATCAACCGAGTCTAGAGATGAAAAACAAATAATCAAACAAATACTAACACGAAAATATATTTAGAAACCTCAAAAGAAACTAAGACTCTTGACATGCAAACTCCAGTAAAAGAACGACATAAGGAAACACAGTAGGACATGTCAAAAATCAGAGAAAGCTTAAAAAAACTTAACAAAACCTAAATCGGAAAAGATGAAGGGGTTTTGAAGGCAAATTTTTGAAGAAAACGTTTAGAAGTTTAGAGCAAACACAAATCTAAAATAGATCTAAAAGAAATCGGAAGAACCTCAAAGGTTAGGGTTTCAGAAGAACCCCATATGGTGAGAAAGACTTGGAAAATCATCGATCTAAGCAGGAGAAGTCAAGAATCAGGCTTGAATAGCCATGGCTGGCCGGAGCAAAGTCAAAGGTGACCGGAGACAGCCATAGAACTGAAAACAACCAAGGTCTGGACCAAACTTTCCCAGGATTCAGCCTTAAAACCGTGATAATCGGGCATATTGAAGCCAAAGGAGGTAGATACAAGCCTCCAATGGCTTTGGAAGCCATTGATTTGGGAGATTTTAGGGTGGTGGTAGAGGGCGGTGGCTAGGTTTTGAGCGAGAGTTTGAGAGAGAATTGGGATTCAGAGGCGGCTGAATGAGAGAAAATGATAGGGTTTAGGGGTTGTTTGGGATAATTATGGAAAGGGGATTTGGTGGTCGTTGATCATTTTGATCAACGGCCTGGATTGAATGGGTAGGTAGGGGGATCCGGGCGGGTTATTTAGTTGGGTCAGGGGTCGGGTATAATTAGGATTTGGGCTGGGTAATTGGGTTTAAAATTGGGGTTCAATTCAGGCCCCAATTGAAACACAATTGGGGCTATATTTTAAATAGCCACATTTCCCTCATTTATTTTACAAAAATAGTAAAGTAATTTCTGGAAATAAATTAAAGGTACTAAAATAATTAATAATACTTAAATATCACATTAAAAATATTGGACCTAATTTTTATAGACATAAACGTAATTAAATTTAAAAGAGGCTAGTATTGCAATTATATGTAATTTAGCCTTAAAAATACTAAATAAATTTGTAAAAAAATGCAAAAATTATCTTTGATATATTTTAGTAAAAATAAAACTGTCCATTAAATGAATCACTAAAATGATAATTTTGGGAATAATTATTGGGCTTTTCTGGATAAAATAGGGCATTAAATTAATTTAAAAATCTCTTAAAAATTAAGGAAAAAATAATAAATCGTTTGGACATACTTATATATGCATACATATTCTATTTTGGAAGTATTTTGTATTTTAAAATATATATAGAGAAATTGGGTATCAACTTGGGTTTATCGGTGGTACACCGACCCCTGCATTGTTGTTTTCTCCAAGACATTCACTGTCATGAATAGGTGGTTTGTGTACTTGACATGCTTAAGCATGATAATTAAAAACGTGACAAGAAAATGTGTAAAGATAACATGTGTAATGAGAATCAATAATGAAATAATCACTATTATCTTTAGCCCCACGGTGGGCGCCAAACTGTTTACATCGATAATACGAGTAACAATGAAACTTGATTTGTGGTGTTAAAAATATGTGATTTAGCTCAATGCCAATTAATAATCAAGAAATATAAAGTTGGAATGAAAAATTACAAGTGACCCAAACCAATATTACTTGATAGTGGTGACCTCGAGACGGGCTAAGAGCAATAAAGTAAGAAAAGTAAAGTAAGAACAATAGAGCTAAATGACAATGCTGACGAACACTAGGCGAAAAGGTAGAGAGTATATTCTTTGCTCAGTCACCAGATGATGTTACAAATGATTCGGGTCCCCTTTATATAATAAGGGAACCCTAAATAAGGAATATGTCTATTCATAGTAGGGAATATTCTTGGTACAGCTGTTTAACCGTCTAGTACGGAATCGTACAATCCTATTCCGGGATTTGCAAAATGACTTTGGGGACGTGGAAGGAAATTAGCTTGCTCTGGTACAAATCCATAATGGTACTATTTCGGGGTCGGGCATACTTCGGCTCAGTATTCCTCGAAATCCTGTCTCTGGGCATCGCACTCTGTCTTCAAGCTCGAGTCTGGTCCATTGGTTTCGAACTTGACCTCGCTCGGACTCGGACGAAGGATGGAACCTCGAGCCTATACATCGGGGGCATATGATTTTGACTATATATATATATATATGCGTGTGTGTGTGTGTGTGTGTGTGTATAAAAATGCAATGCAAAGTCGATTTCAAGGAAATACCAAGATTAAACTTAGTATGAATCATATTTTCTGAACTCAAGGTACTATTTGGAAAAAACTCAAACATAGAACAAAGGCCACCGATAAGAATAATGCACAAAAACATATACACCACCATTGAGGAGAGCTTAAAACAACCCGATATCATATTGTCATTAAAGGAGAGAAAGATGTTCATACAAAGTCATGTCAAAAAAGAAAGTTGTCCTACTTACCATGTTGAAGAACTAGATACACTTCTATGGAGATTAACTCTACCTCGAACGAATCTCGAGAATTAATACAGCAAGATGATAGATGCTACAACGATTATTAAATCTCCCTCGCGCTAAATCTTACTAGATTCACCTCAAATTTCACCTTAGACTATTTGGGGAATTCTAAAAGGGGTTTGAGATCATTTAGGGGAAACTCATGTTGGTGATATCTTCTAGAGTGAGAGTAAGAGGGTTGCACTACCTTTTTTATATCACCAAATTTAGGCAATTTCACTGCTGCCATATGCAAAACGGGTCGCCCTGCCCCGGTCAGCACCTAATGGATAGATGGCGTTAGCCTAATAAAACGTGTAATCCATTTCTTCCTTTCTACAGTTGTATCGTGCGGACCGTAAAATTTGGTTTCTATAAAAAAAAGGTGCTATGCAGCCACACAATTGCATTGCGGACCGCAATGATTGAAGATGAAAAATGTCAAATCTCTGAAGTTGATCCGTTAGAGAAATGGCCGATCTGCGGAGGCAACACGGATTTTGCGGTCTGCAACAGAACTTGCGGCCAAACCGCTAATTTTGTAGGACACTAAATTCTAGGGCATCTGAGGCTTCCATGCAATGGAGTGCGGACTACAATAGGAATTTTTCGGCCGCACTCATCGTCCCTTCATTTGTCAGACACCATTCACTATAAATAGCAGATGCTGGGCATTGTTCCCCTTTTTTCCCTCTTTGAGCTCATAAAGTGTAAGAATTGAAACATCGTGTTAAATTAGCCGCTCACAAGCCTAACAATTGTTGATCAGTAATCTCTTGCCCAAATTCATCTATGGTATGCATCATTATCTTGATTAACTTCTTTAGATTTTTAGATTTTGGTAAAATTTTGAAGCGTTTGTCTATGAATCTATTTGAAAAAACTTTAGGGGTGAATATTGTGGGTAAACTGATAAATGTTCTAAGGGGAGTGAGTGAATTAATTATAATGCTTAAATGTTAATTCCATGTCAAAAGTGTGCAAAAATATCAAGCCCTAGGTTCATAGTTGACCGTCTTTTTGTAAAATTTGGAATCGGTGGCCGCACAAAACATTGTGCGGTCCGCAGAAGTTAAGGTATATGGCATTATAATAAGGCATGTATCTGCGGCCGTAATGAAAATTGTAAGGACCACAAAAATCCTATTGCTGCCATAGAACAACCTAGTATCCATGATCAGAGAATTGTCATTTGGATGATTCTCAAGTGTAGCCGCAAAGTAAATTGTGCGGACCGCAAAAAATTGATTGTGGCGGCAAAAATACCAATTCTCTGTTATTAGAGAATTGGTATTCTGGTGATGTCTGAATTGTGGTTTCAAAGAGAAATATGCGGACCGAAATCCTCTTTTGTGGCCACAAGAGCAGCTGGCTGTCTAATCAAGGATAAAGATGTAGTGTGTTTTCCTTGTTAATCTTCAAAGACTTTGTGTAAGAATTGAAGGATAATTTGGTGACGATCACTTTCTCACTCATGGGCTCCTTCTCTCACTCTAAAGCATCAGGTTTCTGCTAAAACATGACCCATTGTGTGTATTTAATGAAGTTGGGTCGTGTTATAGTGTTAGAGGAATAGATACTCCGAAGTTCCGGACCAGGCTGCAGACCTGGACTCGCTAGGCTAAAGCCTAGTCTAGCGTGCTATAGACCTGGCCCCGCTAGGATAAATCCTGGTCTAGCATGCGACAGACCTGGCCTCGTCAGGGTAAAGCCTGGTCTAGCGTGCTACAGACCTGGCCTCGCCAGGCTAAAACCTAGTCTAGTGTGTTATAGACTTGGCCTCGCTAGGCTAAATCCTGGGCAAGAGAATTTCAACTCCCCAACGTACTGATCAACACAAAAACACTGATAATACAATATATTAGCCTACCTTGGTACCAGAAAACCTTAATTTACTTAGAGAAATTTTTTCGAGGCCTTACAGTACTTATCCAGCATGATATCACTCACAATAAAATTTGCTAGATCTGCGAATCATAGCACCTCCTTCATATAAATATCCAAAAGTTTCTCATAGGTGAGGAGTCGTTGATTTCAAGGCCATCGTGCGGCCACCGCTCCTCCTCCAAACGAGACAAGTGGTCCGCCACTTGATTTTCGCTCCCCCTTCTATCTTGGATGTAAATATCAAACACTTGCAACAAAAACACCAATCACATCAACCGATCTTTGGAATCTTTCTTGGTCATAAGATAACAAAGTGCCGCATGATCCATGTGGACAATCATTTTAGCACCCATCAAGTTCGGGTGGAACTTCTCAATTGCAAACAACATGGCAAGAAGCTCTATCTCCGTAACGGTATAGTTGACTAGGGCACTATTAATGGTATTACGAGCATAGTAGACCAGATGAAAATTATTGTTGATGTGTTCCCCAAAAATAGCCCCAACCGCTACGTCACTAGCATCGCACATGAGCTCAAAAGGGATACTCCAATTAGGAGCAGTGTTAATGGGAGTCGTTGCCAACTTGAACATTAACAATTCAAAGGCTCTCTTGCAATCATCATTGAAGTGAAACTTAGCATCTTTATCTAGGAGCTTACACAACGAGTTCGCCACTTAAGAAAAATCCTTGATGAAGCGCCGATAAAACCCCGCGTGGCCTAAGAAAATCTGCATGCCCTTCACCGAAGTTGGAGGTGGAAGTTTAGAAATCACCTCAATCTTTTCCTTGTCGACTTCAGTGCCATTCTTTGAGATCTTGTGGTCAAGGACTATGACTTCCTCGACCATGAAATAACATTTCTCCCAATTTAGCACCAAATTTGTTTCTTCACATCTTGCCAACACTTTATCCAAGTTTGCGAGACAATCATCAAAAGAACTCCCGACCACCGAGAAGTCATCCATGAAGACTTCAAGGTAATCCTCCACAATGCTCATGAAGATCGCCATCATACACCATTGAAGAGTCTTCGGTGCATTGCACAAACCTATTGGCATCCGCTTGAAAGCAAAACTACCATAAGGACATGTAAAAGTTGTTTTCACTTGAACCTCCATAGCAATAAGAATTTGTTTGTTACGCCCCGCAATATTACGTCGATATTTTATCCCGCAGTACCATATTATGATGATGTTCTTGCATTACTAGATTATGATGCTGTTACGCTTCGCAATATTAAATTATGACGATGTTGCACCCTGTAATATTGTACGTTGAATTTGTCGTAAGGTAACTGACATCAGTCCAAGGAAAAGATTATTTGGAGATAATAAGGATTATGCTATCTCAAACAAGTGATGAGTAAATTCGTGAAGGTGAGAGGGGAAGCATGTCAAAGAAAATAAATTTTCGTCCAAGTTTAGCATGTTGGGATAAAATACGGGCCGAGCATCAATACCCTTTATTTATGAACTAGTACCATACGAGGTACCATATGACCATGATAGTATGATATATAAAAGTGAATTAAAAAAAGTAAAATTTTAAGTAATTTTAGATAATTCTTAATTGGGCAATTGGTTAATTACCGGGTAACGGAATATCACCTAATTAATTAATTGATTGTGGGATAAGACTAAAATCCCCCCACCCCTCGTGGCAATAAGCCAACTCTTAACCAAATGACTCTTAGTCATTTTGGCTAGGTGGAAAGTAATGTGTTTATTATAACACACATCATTCCTAATATTTTATTTGTAAAAGCAATGTGTTAAAGTACAAGAACATTTCATTCTCTTATTTTGAAAGCAATGACTTGTAACAGTAATGAACAAGAACACTTCATTTTCTCATTATGTTGAATACAAACACAATACTAGAGGTTAGAATTTTCCTATAAGATTTCAACGAAATTCTTGCAACCAAACAATTCCAAGGGGAATTAATAGCACCTTAGCAACGCAAAATTTTGCGGTTCTGAAGGAGTACGGTGCAACCTTTTTAAAGACTGTCATACGGGTTTTTCCCTACTCCAGGTATGTTAAGGCTATCCCTTCTTTCCTTTTGGCATGATCCATACGCTACAAACGAAACAAGAAAATACAAAACTTCTATAAATTACTCTATGCGTAGAAATGCTAGAGAGGTGTATATTCTTATTCTCCCATAAGTCTTATTATTCTATCGTCTGCTCTTGGGTCTCAGAAAATATATAAGTTGATAAAGATTGTTTAATGATATTAATCAGAGGTATAATAGTCTTATGATGTTCCAAGAGATTTTATTGACGTACTTCTCATGCATTGCATTCATTTATACATGTACATTGACCCATGACCAGATGGAGTTATATATATATATATATATATATATATATATATATATATATATATATATATATATATATATATATATATGGGGTATGGAAAAAGGTTACGGCATTATATACGCACCACCACCTGATAAGTTGGTATACATTGATGATTTTGCCTACAGTGACCGAGATGATACGATGGGATGCCCTCACAGGCCTAATGATGTTATGAAACATGTACCTATCCAAAACATGACATCCATATGCATATGCATGACACTATAATTATTTCATGATTTACAAAGTTATCCATACTTACAGGTTGAGTTATTTTCTCTATATTTCTTCCATGTCTGTTATATACTTATTTATGAGCCTTACATACTCGGTACATCATTAGAACTAACTCCCTTTTTTTTGGGGGCGCTGTATTTCGTGCCCGCAGGTCTCGATAGACCGGTCGAGAGTCCTCCAAGTAGGCGATCAGCTCAGCAGAAGATGTTGGTGTACTCCATTTGCTCCGGAGTTGCTTCTTCGATTAGTATGATTTAGATGTATATTATTTGGTATGGCGGGGCTCTGTGCGACCTTTATGACAATTATGTATCCTTAGAGGCCTGTAGATAGATTTCACGTACGTAAAAGATTGTATGGCCTTTTCGGCCTATGTTCAGTATACGAGTGGTTATTTTTGTCTTAGAGGCCCATATGTCTTATGAATTAGTTGGTATTACATGTTGTATTCTACCTATTTCACGGCAGCCTCTCCGGTTAAGTTATCTATGATAGAATGATACGAAAAGATACGTTACGTTGGTACTCGGTTGATTAATGTACCGGGTGCTCGTCACGGCCCATCTATTTAGGTCGTGACTAAAGAGGTATCAGAGCAGTTTTCTCATAGGGAGTTTACAAGCCGTGTGTAAGTGTCACGCCCCAAATTCGAGGGACATGACCGGCGCCCGACCGGGTAGCCCCAGTCAAGCGGACCTGGGTGCCTTTCCTAACCCACGTGTTACCCCATGTTTTCCTTACTCAATATTCCAAGAATTAGCCATATAATTAACTTAGAACACCTTTTTGCAACACATATATATACGTACATAATAGTTAATGAAATTACAAATTCTTTGCCCAACACATGAACATAGATTTACACAAGTTCTTAACCCACATCTACTGTCCACGGAGCCTCTAAAAGTACAACAGGATAATATAGTATTTGCTGGTAACAAGGCTCCGGCTATACCTTACATAAAAAATCAAAATAAAACTCCGGAAACAAGCGGCCTGAGCCACGCAGGGCCCCGAGAGGAAAGGGGCTCACCAAAAAGCTGATGGAGGACGAAGGGGAGCTACGATCGGTGGACTGGAGTACCTGCTACGGATCCACCTACAATCATAACACGAATGTAGCGCCCCCGGCAAAAGGGACGTCAGTACATTTGAATTGTACTGGTATGTATGAACAAACCTTGCTCCAAGTAAACTCGAACCATAAACAAGTTGTAGCAGTAATAAGAACAATAATCAAATCAACAAAGAGGGAACAACTAAGCCGAACAAGTATACAATCTCTCCTGCTTCCTCTTCCACACTTCCACATCAATAATTTCACAATTTATAAGCAAGTATGTAATCGTAATAGAAATAACAATCAAATACACAAAGAAGGAACAATCAAGCCAAACAAGTTTACAATCTCTCCTGTTTTCCCCTTCCACATTTCCACATCAATAATTTCACAATTTGTTCATAATTTCATTTCAATAGTGATTTCGATCACTTTCCACCCTTATTACCTCGGCACCCTTATTACCTCGGCCACCCTTATCACCACAACCCACACCTTATTACTTCGTGTTGCGGCGCGCAACCCGATCCCACCGAGCAATCAGAATTCACAAACAATACCACATCAATGACAATTTACAAGGAGAACAGCAACAAGTTTCAGGAACAACAACAACAAATCCCAATAACAACGACAACACATCTCAAGGAACAACAACTCAACTCACACAGGGTTTATATGACTATCAATGCCATTTCCATCTTTTTCAACAGCCCGTTGTACCATTTAAATCACAATAATGATTTTTCACAACTAGCCAAAAAGGATGTTACCACAGTTATCTCAATTTTCACCAATCTCGATTCCTTTCCATAATTTATTCCACAGTCCTTACCACATAACACATTCGCAATCACAACTTGGTTTATTGCCATTTACTTGCACAATCATATCGGACGTCTTAACCAACAACGTTTAAGGCACAATATTTACATGAATTCACAAATGGTTCACACAAGTAAACACATATTACTAGCAAGAGTTTAACTTCACAAATAACCCACGTAGACATCACGTACCAAATATTGAACACCAAGCAAGGTGATTTTACAAAGATCAAAGTTAGCCATACATACCTGGAGCTGAATTCCCTTTTAACTTCTATTTCCAGTTCACCAAATAATCTAGCAACGTCAATCTAGTGCACAATTTAATACACATAACCTAGAATTGGGTTTCACAAATGCTTCTCAAACTTATCTAGGTTATCAGCCCCTTCTTTGTATAAGTCTTTGCTCCTACCCAACTACTCCTACTAGATTTTTGGTTATAGAAAGGCATGCATGTATGAGTTCAACCATTATTTTCAAGAACCAATGCATGAGACTCCCCCCCCCCTAGTTTAAACCTGAAATTCAATGAAAAGGGTTAGGGATTTTACCTGCAAGAAAAGGGGGATGAAGATAAGCTTGAAATTTCCCGGCCCGGATAGTTTTGAAGAACCAAATTTTGGAGAAGATGACTTTCTCTCTCAAGACCCTCTCTTCCTCTCTCTTATTTTGTGCAGAAGATCGTGAAAGAATGAGGGGATGGGTGTTTTATTTCAAAGGGGTCGGGTTTTAAAATTTAGAAAAATAGAAGCCCGAGCAAGATCTGCGGTCGCATTCTGCCATCGCAGAAACGAAATGCGGTCCGCAGATTGGACCGCAGAAATGCCCCAAAAACTCTTAGGAGTCTGTTCGGGTCTGCGACAGGAATGTGGTCTGCATTCCTGTTATGCGGTCGCATTGTGCACCGCAGAACTGACCTCACAAATCCTTGAGGAACTTATGCGACGATTATGCGGTCTGCATATTGGTTATGCAATCGCATAATAGACTGCATTTTCAATATTAATTTTGACAACTCTTCTGTTTCACTCTGCGGTAGGACTGCGGTCCGCATACTAGATGTGCGACCGCATTCTGGCCCGCAGAATGGCATTTTCTGGAAAATTGATTCTTTTGATTTTTACAAGCTTAGATCAATACCAAGGGTC